TCATGTGTCAATTGAGTTCCAGTCGGCGTCTGTTGGTGAGCATAAAGTCCCTAGCGCCCGTGCCCACACCTTCCCGGCGTCTCCCTGGAAGACCGCCGTAGTAGCCGGGGTCAGCCAGTGTGTTGGGGATGAGTACTGGAATAGCCCTTCAACATAGAAAAGCTGGGAGTTAGGCACCTCTGATAGATCCAGCCCAATGGAATTTCTCGCTGGAAAAATCGAGTCATCATAGTCTAATTGCTGTTACTCTGTTTTGGTGAATTAGTTACTCCGTCGTTTCAGCTGGCTTGATGAACAGCCAGCGAACCGCCCATTGCGACGCCTGCATCCGCCGGCTCAAAATGCATCGCCTGACAGAGGAAATATTAGACAAACTTCATACCTGAATTTGAACATGGCTGTCGACTCATGCATCAATGCTAGGATATGAACAGCTTTTCGACAGCAATATTCATATTCGAGTATGAAGTTTGTTCAACACCTATTAATTGCGAAGGGCGCGGAACAACTGTCGGTCGGTGTGATATTGCTCCTTCGCCAACGCAAATCCAAGCGAGTGCGAGAGACACAGACGTCACTGACTCAAATGGAGGCATTGAGTTGGAGGCGCACGCGTGGCTAGTGTCAAGGGGTTGGCGAATAATCAAGCCGTCGGGAGAAAGTACTCTCAATTCTCCATGTTGTCAGCATTTCCCACGCGTCCCTTACCTTTCTTCTTCGTCTTCAGCTACACTTGCCCCGCTTGGAACTTTGCGCTTTTCCTCATGTCGTATCTACCTAGCGAGCGTCTTGCTAAGAGCGGCTGCCACGATCGCATCGCCGGGGTCTTGATCGCTTTGGCTTCCCCCAGCTAAGCCGTTCTTTGCCTAGCCCCCTCTGCGCTTTCGCTTGTTTTTTGCATCGGAGGAGTCGGACCAACGCTTTTCGGACAAGAAGGAGGATTACGTTCTTGGATTTCTCCCGCAGCTGACTGGTTGATCTCGCCAACCGACTGCGCGGAGCGTCGACAACCCACCCGACCGTCCGACCGTCCGACGCCTGAGTCTCAACCGCCGATGGCTTCAAGCCTCATTACTGCATCCGTTTTCTTGAGATAAAAGGAAGTTGCAGTGCATCGCTGTCACAACCTTCTCCGCAGCACATCAACAACTCACTCCAACCAAGCAGTTCCAAGAACTTCAAATTTCAAATCTCGCCATCTTTTCTATTCTACTTGTTCGAAACTCTTCTCCCTCCCGCTGGAAATACCATTGACTCCACTCACGATGGTCGCTTCAACCGACATCTTCCCCAGCCTTCTCAAGCCAACCACGAAGCCCTACCGCCTTCCTCAGATCAACACTGTACCTGTAAGCCTTTTTTTTTTTTGTTTTTTTTTTTTTTTACTCTCGATATGCAATTTTCCCTTCGATCACAGATGCTGACAATGGGCTGCAGCTGCTCATCAAGGACGGTTTCACTCTCACGACTCTCTTCTCCATCGGCGCCCTCATGCAGACAGCGCTCTTTCTCATTCTACCGACAAAATACGCCATCATTCCTTCCTCCGCTATCGCTCTCAACTCCATCATTTCAACCATCATCGGAACCCGCTCAAAGTCGGCCAACACTTACATGAACGGCGTCGTCCCGGGCCGTACCTCCGCACAGTTGCCGGACCCCACCACCGGCAAGATCCCCGCCACCCCGGCCGGTCGATCTCTGCTGGTCTTCCACCTTGGAGTCCGTTTCAACCATCCTCTCGGACTCCTCTCTCCCGGCGGTCGCGAGATCGGCGCATACCTTGACGCCATGAACAAGGACCTGAACCTTCGCGCCGACGAGTACGGACTCTACCACCTCTCTTCCTGGCAATCCCTCGAGGCCGAGCGCAACAACACGCTCATGTTCATCTACTACTTCAGAGACGTCGAGGGCCTCAACAAGTTCGCCCACGATCCCCTCCACCGCAAGACCTGGGACTGGTACAACAGCATCAGGGACCAGTTCGACCACATTGGTATCTTTCACGAGGGCTTCGTCACCGGCCCGCAGCAGTACGAGACCATCTACGGCAACATGAAGCCCACCCTCCTCGGCGCTGCGAGCCTCAAGTGCAAGAATGAGGAGACCAAGGAGGACGAGTGGGTCAACACTTTGGTCAACTGCGACAACTCGGCTCTGAGAAGCCAGTTCAAGCGCATGGGGAAGGCGTCGCGGCAGTTGGTGGAGTACGAGACCTGAATCGGCACAAGCTTGGTTTCAACCTTTATTATGTTCCAACATCATGATTGTTCATGAAATTGCTTAACGCGGCGTTTGGTGGGTTATGGCTAGGTATAGAAAGAGCTCGTTCTGAGGAGTGCTGCTCTTAGTACTGGTCGAGGAAGGAACGACCAGCAAGGCAAAGAAAGCAAATGACGAGTGTAGGTACAAATTTGTCCGCAAAAAAAAGTTCCAATCATGATATTGAAAGTCTCATTAAAGGGTTGTGACATACTCGTTGGTTTCGTGTAAAGCAAAGATTAAGCCCTGGTTCTTCTCCGTTGGTCGTTGATCATACCATTCATGACTTTCGGTGATGGTTACTAAGAGCAGTGATCAAAGGTGGAATCCCTTGCAATGCCGCCCAAGCCCAAAGTCCCAAGAAATACGCCAACCAAGATCGAAACAAAGTATCCGACATTCATACTCATTACTGCAAGCATTCTGTAATAATCAGCATCATTGCGCTGGGTTAGCTGGATGGACACTTACAGAAGGTAGCCTAGCAAGGCAATGACAACCTCATAAACCGCCCTCCCAAGCCTTATGTTGGCTTTCAATATCATGCCTCTTAGCCCATTATCAGGATGTAGTTGCCTCGTTGAGTTCGGTCTGGTTGGCATTTGATCTTTTCCAGTCTCCTCGTCGTCGTGCCCAACCACTAGTCTGCCTCTGGTGTCGTCGTGGCCTGCCCACACTGTCGCCTCGAGCCTCGGCTTGAAAGCAAGGAGAGCGCGAAGAATGATGGTAAAAACGATGAGAGTGAGACAAGTACCCGCATACTGCCCAGTGGTACGAGGTGTCCAGGTCTCAGAGAATAGACTGGTGGACATGGCTGTGTGGAAGACTACAGGCATAGTCATTAACGCGTCGCCGCTGTCGGAGTGGCTGTGGTTGTGCTCCGTCATATCCATTTTGAGCTGTTATTCCAGAGATATTTGTCTACAGTCAAGAGACAAAACGCCGACGTCGATACCGGATTTAAATAATTCTTTTCTGGTTCTGACCCCGAGAAACGGGTCGGTCGTTGCTGGGGCGGGCTTGGATGGTGGAGCCTTCGCTTGGCCCTCTAAGTTCAGCACCTGCGGCTTACAGGTTCCTTAGGCTCTTTAATAGAATGTGTTCTGCGTGAGCAAGTTATTGCCCCAGCTGACCCTCCCTGTAAGGCTGGCTTGCCAGTCAGCTCGCTTCAAAGCACATCGTCATCTCGCCCAACCTCGTGTCAAGCCCAATGTAACACGATCCAGGCACCGGACAAGTAATATCAAAACGCGTTCCTCTTTCAAATTTGAGAGCGTTATTTGTGGCCATCTGAGGCTCGTTTTCGTCAAACAGCCGTTGGAGGTCTGCTTTGTCGTCATTTCTGGCGTGGTGGGTCGTGAGGCAGATTGAGGGAGTTTCTCGGAAGTGTGGCTTGGCCTCCATGCTTTTGACCTAATCAGGAAGTACGTTATGAACCCTGAGAGACTATGTACACAGACTCCCTCCGACCGCTAGCAAGGTACAGTAAGTTCTTTCAGTTATTGTGTGGTGCTATGGACGTCAATTTCCCCCTGATTTGGCTGGCCTGATCGTTCATGCACGAGAGAAGCCGCACAAACCAATGTAATCAAGGCCCGCGATTCAGTATCCGGGCAGGTGTTATAAGACCCCCAATGGCTGACAATAAAACCGGTCTAACGTGAGGGAAATAGTATTGACGTTTTCTTGCGTCCGAATCAGTGTCTGCCGCAAGAGCGTGCAATCAGTCATCCATAATCCATCCGCTTCCAATTACCTGACATTATGATCTATTCTAGGCAAGCGCAAGCCGAGCTTCTCACTTCTGGCACCAGAAATATCGATGAGATGGATAACGGCCTGATCGTTATTAAGATTGCCAACAACATCCAGTCGTGGACAATATCAAAAGCAACAGCAACGAGCGTATCTACCAACGTCCCACTTCATGACCCTAGCTGAGGAGGACTCTTAAGACTCTGATATCAAGTTCGCGATCTATGAGACCCACTGCAAACGGTATGTCGATCCCCGGACCGCTGTCGAACTCGCCCGTGCCGTAACCCCGTTGCTCCACTTAGATGACAACGTACGCGTTTTCGAGGGGCGAGGACAGGGTTCCGCTGCACTCGCCTCGGGATTGATCTTTCCATTTGATTGAAAGATAGACGCCATAAGCGGGAGCAATAGGTTGCGGATCCATTGGTGTGACGGAGAGTCAATGGTCCTTTGCGGTGAGGGGAAGAAATCGCGCGAAGCTTTCTCTTGCCGCGCCCAAGAGACGGCCTTTTGAGGTTTGCTCACGGTTGGCACCAGATTTGGGTTGAATATTTCTGGTGGGAAGGGAGGAAAACGTCGAGAAACTTGGGGATATCGAGAGCATCTGTGAAGGGCCTATACCTTGGCATTTAAGAGAATGCGGGGCTGTGCATAGAAGTCCGTCTAAGGATGGCATCATTGATTTCTCACGTATATAAACAGCTTCATGAATCAATAGTATAGACGTGGCGGACTGCTTTGAAGGTGAAATCTACGCCGTAATGTTGTGTTGCTTCATCTGACCAGCAAGTATATCTCATTCTAGCAGCATGCTTCGTCTGGTTGATTCCTGCTTAAGACACCTTGCCCCGTGGGCTATAACGTCTTCAGAAAAAAAGAGCAGTCATGCAGTCTCCCGAGTGCGTTCTGCGCATAGGCCTGACAAACACCCGGTTCCACGTAACCAAGCTTCAAGTAAAACCCCCCGCGCAGGCGTGTCACTGGCCGTGTCTAGTAACATCATTGTCTTTCCGAGGCCATCGCGGGCGAACGTTTCGGCAAGATCCATGAGCTTCCGGCCGATACCGCCCCCTCTCTGAGCCGGGTGAACAAGGAGTTTGCGGACCTCGATCTTGTGCTTATGCGTCTCTTTGGGATTCTGCCCGAGCTGAAAGGTCGCTAAAGTATTATTGTCGTTTGATTTGGCAGAATCCTTGACGACGAAGAGATAGACCAAAGGGTCGGTTCCTGAGATGTCTGACGAGAGCGATGTCCAATAGGCGGAAGCGTCCTCTTCAGACAGCGGTGCCCGAAAGCCAATTGAGGATGTTTCAGGTACCAGATTGACGAATAATCGGAGTAGATCAGAGAGTGAGGGTGTCCAGAATTCCAATGCTTCAGTCGATATGATCTGGCTAACAACTACCCCTCCGGGTAGTGAATAGTCCGCCAGACCATTACGCGACTTATATGGTTGCACCATCTCGTGTTGAGGACAGCCAACAGCCAACAGCCAAGCTGATCATTCGATGGGCAAAAATGGCTCATTGGAAGACACAAGATTTCAAATGAGTGAATTTTCCTTGGTCTCCGTGAATTGGATATGACCGATGGGGCACCGTTTTGTGTGGTCTAAGAGTGAGTCATTGGGCATCGTCGTCAGTAACGGCGGCCGATAGTGATGAAGCTAGTGTGGCCAAAACGCGGAATTTCGGTATTTTACTGCCCAGATAGCACGCTCCAAAATATCCACATCGTAATTCCAGCTTGACAATCAGTTGATTGACTCTCGCAACATACAAACACTCTTTGTTTTGATTCAAGATCGTACGCCATTGAAATCATCGGAACGACACCCACAAAAGACAAAAGTTGTGTGAAGCCTTCGATTCATAGGAGGCAAAACTGCCGTGGACTCGAAGACTCATAAGATTATGATGCCTGGTAGCTTTTCCCAGATTCATCTGCGCTGATTTTCAAATCAATTTTGGCGGAGACGTCCGAATCTTCCTTATTGTGACATTGAGGTAGGCTGGCAAATGATTACTCAGTTGGTCTCATTGTCAATATTTTATTAGTTTGGAAGGCGTTGTCGATCTAATCGCGCGTTTTCAAGTCCGAAGTGTTATGTGTCCTGCGCCTTGGCGACCGCAATCATGATGCTCTCACTAGGTAGTTGAGGTCTAGCTAAGGCACGTTTAGGCTTGGCGCAGCGAGAGAACCAAGGCCCCGGTCGCAGACTTGTGTCATAATCCGGGGAAGAGTCTAGATTGACTTGTAACTCAAGTGTGAAGAGAATATATGCACGCATTATCACCAATGAAAACGGACTAGATATTTTGTACAGGCGGAGCCACGTTTGTGGAGCTCAGGAATATATATTCCGTAGTTTAGCGAGCTCAGGGCGTTACCAAGCGTTTGTTGAACGGTCTTTGTTTCATCATTGGGTACGACCAAACAGATCATGCCCAATCCCGCGTGGGCATCCCACCGGCGTGGGAGCGTAGTTTGCTTATAAAGCCATAGCCCTCTCCCTGGCAATAGTATTGAATCCGCGGTTATTCCCCACTGCAAGACGCTGAAGGGAGTTGCATGAGGCCTCGGTTGATCCGTAAAGAAAGACCGGCGGCTACGGAGTTGGTCCGTTCGCCGGCTTGGTAATCCTCTCTACCCGTACTAGACGGCAGTGGTCGGTGGAGAATCGACAGACTCTTGTAGTCGAAGGAGTCGGTTGAAAGCCTGGCATGGTGAAGGCTCCGCATATGAGATGTGTCGGGCCTTCGGGTACATAGTTTCGTGCGACCAAGTTTCCACTTTTGGGATAACTTGAACCTCGTCGATTAGTTAACAGCTCCAACGGTAGTCACAATGGTTGCCACGATGTATGGTATAAATAAGTTTCCACCCTGCAGCAGTCAAAAATTTTTACAATCGGATTCGCATTAGACTCACTCACCGAGAGCGTTGTTTCACGATCACACATTTATACTCTCAAACCTTCGGAGAATAGAATCATTCACCATGTCTGTATACCACACCCATCGCATCACTCAATCTCAACCCGGCGTAAAAGCCGAAGAGGGGCGATTCAATGAGGCTGCCGACAATTGCTCGTTCTTCTCTCCCAAGCAAGACCCTCGCCCGGGCAGTGCTGTTGACCCACAGCCTTCCGGAGAGCCTATTCCCAAGCTTTTCACCCCATTGAAAATTCGAGGCGCCACCCTCCAGAATCGCATATGGGTCAGTCCCATGTGCCAGTACAGCGCTCATGAGGGCTTCCACACCCCTTGGCACATTACTCACTACGGAGGTATGGCCCAGCGCGGAGTAAGTAACCCATCACATAACGTTCAAAGGATGAGGAGACTAACGCTCCCAAAGCCTGGCCTCATGATGGTCGAAGCTACAGCCGTGCAGGCCAACGGCCGCATCACACCGGAAGACTCTGGCATCTGGCTCGATGCCCATGTTGAGACTCTGAAGAAACACGTCGAGTTCGCTCACAGCCAAAACCAACTCATCGCCATTCAATTGGCATACGCCGGGAGGAAAGCATCAACTCTTGCTCCCTGGTTAGGCTTCGAGACACTTGCTGGTCAAGAGGCTGGAGGCTGGCCTCAAGACGTGGTCGGTCCGAGTGATCTTGCCTGGTCCGACAAGCACGCCACTCCCCGGGAGATGACTATCGCCTAGATAGACCAACTGAAGCAAGATTTTGTCAAGGGTGCCTACCGCTCTCTTCATGCCGGCTTCGATGTGATTGAGCTTCATTTTGCGCATGGCTATCTCATCTCCAGCTTCCTTTCTCCAGCGAGCAACAAGCGCACAGATCAATACGGCGGTTCGTTCGAGAACCGCACTCGTCTCGCCATCGAGCTCGTCGATGCTGTTCGGGAGGTGATTCCCAAGGACATGCCACTCTTTGTACGAATCAGTGCCACCGACTGGCTTGATACCAACCCGGAGTGGGACGGCCCAAGCTGGACCGTCGACGAGAGTGTGAAGCTGGCTCAAATCTTTGCGGATCACGGGGTAGACGTACTCGATGTGTCCACTGGCGGCAATCATTCTCAACAGAAGATTGTTGCCAGCGCTGGCTTCCAAGCACCCATGGCCAAGAAGATCAAAGCGGCTATTGGAGATAAGATGCTTGTCAGCGCTGTGGGTATTATCAGAGACGGCAACCTCGCCGAGAAGCTGATCACGGGCTCCAATGAGGAAGGGGACAGTCCGTTGGACTTGATTGCTGCCGGTCGAGGTTTCCAAAAGAACCCAGGTCTTGTGTGGCAATGGGCTGATGATTTGGGTGTTGATATCCATGTTGCAAAGCAGATTGGGTGGGGTTTCAAGGCAAGAGTCAAGAAAGTGCCGAAGAAGCCTGAGATGCTTCCGTATGAGGACTAAAGTCTGAGGATTTATAGTGTCCTCATACTTTACCCAGAGGCCTATATGGATGTCATACGTAGACATATAACATTTGGCATGGAAGTCCAAGAAATCCCCTCATCAACAACGAATCAAGGGCTCCATGTAGGACCGCAGAGAACATTTCTGCCTCTGATATAATGAAACCAACTAAGTTGAGTGCAGCAAGCTATTCCGAGACTCCGAGTAAGCATTCTAGATACTCGTGAGCCACGCCTGATCGCTTTTGTATGCATCTGAAACGTTTGTCAGCACCACTCAAGTACCGAGCCAAACGGCTGTTGCCCCATCGAGACTGCCGGCATTGCCGTCATGTATAGGCTGACCAGGTGTGCAATGCGATCGTCATGCTTCAGAAATCTGGCGTTGAGAATAAGCAATACAGGTAAGCAGCCTCATATTTACTCCGCTGTTCTTCGGAAATCGAGTTCTCCATTGGTACACTTTTTTTTGGGTCTGAACTGAGACGCCGATCTACATCCTAAGGTAGTGCTCTATGTACTGTGCAGGATTACGGGAAGCTCATTCGCGGAGTTACGTGAGCTATTTGATGGACGGTCTCCGCTTGGAAATTTGCCGACACGAGGACCCATGTTCGGAAGGTGTGCATGAGATTTAAATCACTCGACGCAGGAAGACATACGAGTGCAGCATTGCTCGGTGGATTTGGCGTCACAGTATGACTGTGCATTTGCTCTCAGAGGGCCCAGCCAGTGCAACGTGGAAGTCGATAACAAAGCAAGGGCTGGTGGCGGTAAGCATCACGATCTGCTCCAGCTGCGTTGTGAATGTGCCGATCACAAAACGAATACAAATTGTCGAGTATGACAAGTGGCTCAAGTCTTACCAGAGAAGGCCAAAATTCAGTCAGTTCAATGGCTCTTCAGACTAGGTACCAATGGGATCCAATATTGCGGGGGAAGGGTGAAGACGCACTCGTAACTGGGGACACTAGCGTCGTCATCTGGTCGAATTGTCGCTAAGCCAGATGATCCTGTTTAACCAAAGTACCCGTTATACCCGTAAAGAACACATCAACCCCCTGGTCTGACGTGAGATCGTCTAAGCACTTATTTCACACAAGCTTCGGGTTGCATATGTTCTCTCTATTGATCTAACCTGGCAGAAAAAAAGAGTGGAAAGCTTGACACATGGCCTTTCACCCCCTGTCCCTTTTCAAAGATATATTTTAAATGGCCCCCAAGACTTGCCATGGAGAAAGACCCCAAATGAAACTGTCTATTTGCAGGCACTTCATCTAGCATTCTTTGTAGCAATCAGTCACTATGGGTAGCCAAGTTGAGCAACGCTTGATTCCTCAGGCCCTTGCAGACGCATTGGCAGAAAAGCCTGACCGCACCTGGGTGTCATACGCCATCAGCAACAACATAGCACAGGATGGATTTCGCAACATCACCATCCGTCAACTCGCAACTGCTGTTGATCGACTAGCCTGGTACATCGACGACAATATCGGCAAAAGCAGCGATTTCGAGACTGTCATGTACTATGGTCTCGCTGATGTGAGGTACATCATTACCCTCATTGCTGGCATCAAAACCGGGCACAGCGTCCTTTTCTGCTCCCACTTCAACAGCCAGATCTTCAACCTTCACCTCTGCAAAAAGACCAATTGCCACACTGTCATGCGAACGGAGGGAGTAGAAGTAGTGATTGACTCCCTTGTACAAGAAAGGCCAATGAAAGTCTTCCAAGTTCCAAGTCTCGATACCCTTATGGAGGAAGGCAATCCGCCAAAGCCCTACCCCTACACAAAGTCCTGGAGAGAAGCTTGCGACGACCCCATATCTATCGGCCACTCTTCGGGAACTACAGGTCTTCCTAAGCCAATTGTCTGGACCAACCGGTCCTACAGCGTCTGCGAACTGCACCAGGTTGTTCCAGACCTGGATGGCCACCCGCCCTACGCCAAGTTGCTGCTCGAGTCGACCAGCGTTTACCAAACCCAACCGATATATCACCCGTTCGGTCTTTTCACTGGAGTGACTGATCCCCTTTATCGGGAGAAGAAGATGGTGCTGGGGCCCATCGTCAACGGTCCGACTCCGCCTGCCATCCTTGAGCAGGTGATTGAGCACGCCGATATCGATAGTCTCAGTGGCGTTCCTATCTACCTGGAGATGATTGCAAAGTCGCCAAAACTCTTGGATTTGGTCGAAAAGAAACTCAAATACATCTTCTTTGCTGGGGGTGCGCTCAGCAAGCCTGCAGGCGATGCACTGTCTGCTAGGGTCCGCCTCCAGAGTTTCTACGGGGCTACCGAGGCAGGACCTGCATTTGGTCACATACCAGACCGTGAAGACTGGGCTTGGTTGTTGTTGAACGACAAGGAAAGTGGCCTCAAATGGGAGCCGCGCGAAATCAAAGGGACAGACGGCGTATATGAGTTGGTCTACGTGAAGAGTCCTTACACGGAGAAGCGTCAGCACGTCTGGTGGCACACCAATAGCCAAGATGTACACCACAGCAACGACCTCTTCACCAAGCACCCGACAAAAGCGCATCACTGGAAATTTTACTCTCGAGCGGATGACATGATTGTAACCAAGTTTGGGTGGAATGTCAACCCTGTAGTTATGGAAAGAGAGATCGAAAGGCATCCGGCTGTGAAGTATGCAGTCGTTGGAGGTATTGGAAAGCGGACTGTCTGCGCAGTAATACAGCTTGTTGACGATGAGTCTGTATTGCCTGACGACCCCCTGCAAAGCATTTTGCCCATGGTCGAGAGAGGCAACACCATCATGGATACCGCGGGGCAATTGGCCAAGGAGAAGATCATTTTTGGCACAAAAGAAAAGCCTTTTCCATTGGCTGGTAAAGGTAATGTTCAGAGATCAGCGGTTTTGAAGTTGTATGAGCCAGAGATTGAAGACATGTATGTGCGCGTTGGGGATTAGCCCACGCCTGGTAGCAGAAGGGCGGCATCAGATGGCTCGCCGCGCCGGTTACCACTTGTCAGTAACAACCACGAATCAATCAAGTTCAGGCATGCTTCGCAATGATTTCTCCACACTAAAACATTCGAACTCCTGAAACACACCGACTGATGCAAAACAAGAAATTTACATGCTGATTGGTTGATGGGCGCAGCTCAATGTGGCTTAGCCTAGGCAGCCGCCCTGCACTCAGCTGATGGCTGACGTGCGGCTGGATGCACTGATCGATCTTCTCGCCTTCAAGTCTTCATTGGCTTGGGATGAAGCTTCATTGACACGGCCTTATACTGCGTTACTCCTTCCTTTTTGCCTACTCGCACTAGAAGTGGGAGACCCAGACACCTCATCAGTGCATCATGTCTTTCACAACGATGCCGTGTGAGCTCGTAGCATCCATCCTCGGGAGTCTGGATGACCTTCAGTCTCTAACCGCAGCGTTGCTAACTTGCCGTCACATCTATAACTCGTTCAATCAAATCCATGGAATCGACATTGCGATTCTACGACAACAGATAACACCAGCCCTGCTCCCTTACGCCGTGGCTGTCATAGAGGCATCTCGTTTCCGTCTTCACCACCCCCGCGAAATCGAAAGCGAAGCAGTGCGCGACCTAGTCGACACTCTGTATGACAAACGATCCCTTTTAGGTAGCCGCATGCAGGCAATGTCAGTTGCCCATCGACAAGAGATGTCAAAAAGGCACCAAGCGATTGTTGAATTTACCTCCAGCTTTGCCGCTAAGTCTTGGGGACGCCTCCACTCAGACCAGCTCCAAGTTATCACACAACCAAATTTGTCAGTTGAGGAACGTTACAACTTCTGCCGAGCGTTTTATCGCCTCGAGCTATTCTACACCCTCTTCAGGAATATGTACAAAGATCACAGGGAACCCTTGGGCAATACAGCACACGTCAAGTTCTTTTCAAGGAACCCACCTTGGGAAAATGAACAGATTGGCTCTGTCGCAGAATTCTTGGAATCGAGGTTTGCCGAGGGTATGTTTCTCGCGATTGACAGGGAACCAAGGTCTGATTTCGCGTTGAAGCCAGCACTGATGTTATCGCCCACGACGTCCTCATTGGTGAACTGAACGTCGACTACCTTCACCGTGGCAGGAGAAATGACGAAAGACAAATCTGGGTGAGTTGTTGTACTCCAATAATAACGTCTTTGCACACTGCACATAGGCTCACCCGAACAACAGATGGCAGAAGGAATCCTTTTCCTCCGGCGTCTGGTGAAATCGGATTCTTCATACCAAACCAGGAACAAGATACTAAGATCTAGCTCCAGGATAGGCTGGGCCAACTGTCCAGGGGCACTGTTCGACGTACTTCGTGCCTACTGCAATGACGACTCTAGATCAGAAGGCCGCGATGAAGGTGACTTGCTATCGATTGTGTTTAGTCGCGGCCTGGACGAAGAAGTCGACAAAGGACCATGTGAAGCCTGGTATGCAGCGCATAAAAGCCAGCCGGTTGGTTCTTGGCTGATGCTCGACCATAATGATTGGCTTCGGGACCGGGCTTACGTTCTGTGGGACTGGAAACGCATACAGCAGCATCAACTACTGAAGCTCTTCGAATCCGTTCCAGATGGACAGATGCATCGTCCAGAGCCGACGACCGCCGAACTTGAGGCCATGAGTGCCTCCTTTGTCGTTCGGGAAACGATATTTGAGAATGGGAGCCTTGGGTATTGGACGGGGAATGGTCATGAAGTGTTGTAGCAAGTTTATCCTGACGACAAGGACTGCTGGAGCAAAGGCACCGGAAATTGTGTTCCAAAAATACTACATTTGATCGGCTACATGATCTCTATTGATGCATGCTACAACGAACCTAGCTGAGGGCAAAGCATCTCTCAGAACTGGCCTCGTTATTACCCCACCAATAAGGCATCGTGACAATCTTTCCTGCGCCGAAGAACAAAAAGGTCAACAACATGTTGAAGTTAAAGCCTGCGTCAAAGGCTGCCGCCAGAATGTAGTTCCATCGAGCCCTGTAAATATGACGTTAGCA